GAACAGCCGATTTGAGAAGGAGGGACAGGCAAGCCCAAAAGAAAGCCTGCAGCCCCGTGCCTGCCACCCCACACCGGAACCCAGCTAGCTTGGGGGCGCGGGGCGGGAAGGGCGGCGCCCAGCCCGGGGCGGGGAGCTGCGAGGCGGAGGGCGCAGCGCGGAGCTGCTCGCGCTGGCCCCGCCCCCTCGGTGCCGGCTCCGCCCCCGCTGCGCTGGGCGGGCGGGGGGGGGGGAAACGGGCGGGGCGCGGCGTATATAAGGCGAGGGGCGGGCGCCGCTCTTTTGTCTCTTGCTGCTGCAACGCGAGTGGGAGCACCAGACCTCGGGCTCGGAGCGAGAGGCCGCGGTGAGCGCCGCCCGGGGACGCGGGTCCGCGGGGTGGGGTTGGGGCTGGTGCGGCATGCCTGCGCGCGGTGGCCCCCGAGCGGGACGCGGGCCGACCACGCCCTGGGGTGCGGGGGGGGGTGTGCGGGGTGCACCCCGGTCCTCGGCCTCGGGACGGCCGGGAACGCCCCAGCAAAGAGTGCCACGTCGAGAGGCGTTGGCGAAAAGTGCCGGGTGCGGGGCGCTGGCCACCGGCTCAGGGCCAACCGCCTCGCTTTGCCCCCTAGAACTGTTGGAAGAAAATGGCAGACAAGCCCGACATGGGGGAAATCGCCAGCTTCGATAAGGCCAAGCTGAAGAAGACCGAGACACAGGAGAAGAACACCCTGCCGACCAAAGAGAGTGAGTGCGCCCCGGCTCCGGGTGCCGCGGGTCTCCGCCCTGCGCCCCACCCCGCCCTTCCCCGGCCAGCCTCGTCCTCCACCCCACCCCCACCCCACCGGGGTCCCGGGCCCCGGCGTCCCCAGACACTCTTTCCAGTCGCACAAAGCTCCCGGTGTCTCCCCAGCCCCCAGCCTCCGCGGGTGCCTCGCCCACACCGGGTTTGTGAGCTCCCCGGTGGGGTGGAGGGGGTGGGGGTGCAGATTTAAATGCATATTCTAATGAGAAGCCCATTTTTTAAGAATAAATGGTTAATTGGAGAATCA